TATTGAGAAATTGAGTCGCGTAATTTGGTTCACTAAAAAGAATGGTAATGCCCATCACTAGTTTTTAATGTTTTTCAATAAAAGTTTACTAAGTTTTGCGTTTACTCCTGGATTATTCTCAAGCCGAGTCTATGTGTTCTGAACAATATTAAAACACCCTGCTGGCCACGACTCAGTTGAACAAACCGTGTTTGTTCTAAGCTGTGAATCGAATCTTACGATTAATTTTTAATACGTGTTCAAATGAACGACTAGTTCAATCTTTGCCCACCTCTAGTTTATACATAATATATACGAAAAAAAATATTTTTTTAGAAATAGATTTGGGTTAAAAACTTCATTCAAGCGAATTACTCGTCGCTCGTCGCTTGCTACTTCTTGCCATTCATTACCGAAGGAATATGTGCTCTGCGCACGCAACTTAAATGCAACGCACGCAACGCAAATGCAACGCACGCAACTTTACTGCTTGGCGTTACGAGAACAACAAGCGATGGGCGAAACACCGTATTCTTAAATACCAGCGATATTTCGCTCGATTCGATTATTGAAATTGCTTGAAACTCGAGTACTCGATTATTGAAATTAATCGGTTTTTCCCATCACTAGTGCCCTATGTAAGCTAGGGAGCTGAAACTCGAAATGTAGATGATCTAGAGAGACAATTTTTTCATGATATTTTGATTTGACGTTTCGTGTACTATGAAATCCCATAATAAATGGCGAAAAAATCGTCCGATTTAATATGTCTTTGTAGCGCCCTATGTGAACATGTGAACTATGTGGCTGAAACTCGGAATGTAGACGAGGCTCGAAGATATCTTTTTATGATATTTTGGCGACGTTTCGTGCACTACGAAACCCATCATCAATGAATGAAATAAAAAAATTCTCCAATTTAAATGAAACTTGGTACGTCGATAGATTGGATCATATCATACTACTGCCATTACTCGCTGACGAGTATTCTACACGCATCAAAAGATGGTCACGCAAGGCGTTTTCTTTCATGAGCTTTTCTGTGACTGAAAATCCCGATACGTGATGTTATTTGTCTACAGCACTCCGGACATTCAAAAATCTTATTGCTTTGTTGCCTCTTTACTTTTTGGTTGTCGCTGTTAACTGAGTTTACAATTCTTCTCCATTGAGTTCTATTGTGAACTACTTCATCCCAATGATTCTGCATGTTAATCCCCTTTAAGTTTTCGTGAAAAATGTCCTTGTACCTTTTGAGTTGTCCACCCGGCCTCCTCTTACCGTCTACAAGCTCACCGTAAAGCAGAGATCTTGGTATGCGGTTTTCTTGCATTCTTCATACGTGACCAGCCCATCTTAAGCGGAATTTTGTGATAGATTGGACCAAGGCCAACTTGACCGTATACGACAAGTGTCACTATGACAGTTAATTTTGATGTTACAAACGTCAAAAGTTGATGTCGTCCGATCGCGACCAAATTTGGAGAGTAGAAAAAAAGGGGGTAAAAAAGAGGGCAGAAATGTGAGCGACGGTGCACAACGGTCCAACCCTGCAAATTTGGATACGATGTTTCGTTTACATCTTTATCAGGGTGTGACTAATGATTCGATATTGAAGAAAAATCCGAGTCGATTTCGGCACAATCGGGGACGGGCTACAGGATGACCTCCTCGACGTTTCGAAACGATCGATGCCTCTAAAAGCTCTAAATGGACGAAGTCATCAGGATTTTCTTAATTATGTGTCAATTGGAACCAAACTCGGCACGTGGATATAGGTAAAATAAGAAGAAGTTTCACTTCATATATGCGCACATATTACACAAACAATCTTTACAATTTTCTTTCGAGTGTGTTTAGCGATTGGAGTGAAAATTCCACACCTGTAATTTTTAACCAATCAAAACGTGTTTTTTTGACAAATCACCATGGCAACGGATTTTTGTGGGTACCCAACAGCGAATTATACTGGAAATATCTAACACGAAAATGATGATCGACTCTAAATATCAGAATGCACAAACTAATAAAAACACAAACTATAAACACAAATCACTGAAATCACCGAACTTTCCGATAAATCAGGAATATCTGAATTAATGATTATTTAAATAATGATCAAAATAATTATTTAAAAATAACTTGACGGATCACCAACATTTTGTAAAAATGTCAACATAATGTCAATTAGATAAAAACTAGACCACAGACAATAGTCAACCTAGGGACTGTCAAGTCATCTTCATATATAAATTAGGAACCTGTACTTTAATGTCTTTTGCGCCGTCTGGCGATGCGGAAGAAACTAAATTTGGAGTTCTATAAAATTACCATTGAGTGTCTAGGGCATGATAATCAATTCGACCAAAAATCGAAAAATACATTTTAATTATTTGATTTTCAAACACAATTTGGTGTGGAATTTTCTCACCGAATACCACACGAGGTCAAATTAAATCCGGACATTTTCTCTCGCTCATGAACATTTTTAGAAAATTATTTTGAAAATAAATTTTCGTTATAATTTTGTGTCAACTTATATCAAATATCTGCGTTTTGGAAGATGATGCATTTTGATTCGTGTTATTACGTGTGTTTTGTGTCTTTTGAAGTAAAATGGAGGAAAAACCGAGGGAAAATTAAGAGCACAGTTTATAGTTAATACTCGCTTCCCAGGCAGAAAGTCTTATACACCAATAAAGTTACCATCAATAAAGTTATGTATACCATTTCGTCGTAGATAAGTGCATCTCGTATATGGTACAAGGATTCTACTAAACATATACTACTGGAGTAGCTGTAAAATATCGACATCACACGATAGGTAAATAATGGATTTTAGTACTACAGAAAAATAATGTCAAAAGGTACTGATTTAAAAAAATTAAGATGAAAGTTAATTAATCAAACCAAATCAACCTTTACGGTATAAAATTTGGTAAGTGTTATTTTTAATAAAATAGTTTGTTTTATTTATGTTGTTTTATTTATTCCTGTGGAATATTACAAATTTGTATTTGTATATAAGTTATATTGATAAATATAATAATAAATGCGGGAAGTTTCTTGAAGCTTGAAAGTAAGAAATCACGTTTTTTTATTTTTGGTATATGGCGTTTTGTTCTACTTTGTTTTGTATTAACACATACCGTTTTTTTTAATAAAATAACTCGATTACATTTTTTCACTTTTTACAGTTTTTTTTCACAATATTTTGAAGTAATCACTTATCAGTCAAATTTTAAATATATTAATTCCCTGCTATGCGTTCCACTTGTACCAACTTATTTCTTTGTAAAATATAATTTGAAATTAAAATGACAGACACATCTATCACTGTCAAGGAAGAAGTGTCTAGCCCCAGCAGGCAACTATTAAGCTTGACCAATCGGGTTGGTTAGCGTGGTTATTTGGAGTGTGTTAATTCGTTTGTTTTTGTCAAAAACTCTAACGTGATTGGTCGGGCTTAATAGTTGCCCGCTGGGGCTAGACACAAGTGTCAAGGACCTTGTCGTTGGACAGACTATAAATCTCATTTTTACGCTAGGAGTCTCCCCACGATAGACGGCACATGTTTTTTGAAATACCCTGTATATTTTGCCGGCAATTTTGCCAACCACTATTTGGACGAGTTGATGAGGTGAAAGAATCCTTTGAAGTGGTTTCCCAAAGAAAATAGTTCTGCATAATTATGAGGCCGAAAACTTCTGAGACAATCCTCGTTAGGGAATTCAATCCCGCAAATGCTGGATCCCGCAAATGCGGGATCCCTCTGAGATTCCGCGGGATCAAAGTTGCGGGATTTACCGTGCGGGATCCGCGGGATCGACACATTACTACTGGGTAACCGAATCGATCTCGATTAAGATCAAACCGCTTCGTTCCGGGCCGATGCGTCGACGCTCGGAACCCGGGGGATTCCCTTACGGCTTAGCCATTAAAAATAAGTGAAACAAATAGGTTAGTTGTTAGATTTCTTTCTGGCGTATGTGCGTAAGTGAAGAAAAGCGTTTAACTAGTACTTGTGAACAACTTCGTAAAATAAATTGCCGGACATAACTATCGGGACAAGCAAAATTTTAGGGTAAATTTAAAGTTGAATATCTCTTGAACTAAAAAAGATTTTGGGATGCGGTTTGGATCAGGTTTTAGATGCATCTATTGTGATTGAGATGTTATGTGGTTTTCGAAAATATATTTAGCGAATTCTCGTATACAGGGTGTTTTATAAGAGTTTGAAAATTTGGTTAAGAATCTTTTTTACCGCAAATTTACAATTTTTAAAAAATCGAAATTTTTACCAAGTACGACTAATCTGTATCGAAATTAGAAAAAACAATTTGATCGGGTTTTTAATTTTTTTTTGTTTTAAGGAAAATACGACGTTTTTTCGAAAAATATGCATTTTTAGTCATACGTATGGCCCTAAATGGTACAAAAAGCTTTGTACATTCTGCACATTATTTAAATTAATAATTTATTATTTTATTTAAAGAAAAATATTTATATAGAGTGTATCTAAAAGCAGATAACCAACACAAGTTAGAAAAACTTCAACATCAGAATAATATTTTTATTTATAAAATAAGTAGATAAATTATAATAAAATTTAAGTGTATTTAATATTAAATATATTTTTTGAACACCCTGTATACATCGGTCCAAATTTCTGTACTGCTAGTTTAAGATACACGCTATATCAATATATTGTGGGCCTATGCAAAATGTACAATGCCTTTTGTACGATTTAGGACCAAATGTAGGACTATTGTTTACAGTCCCGCAATTTTGCGGATCCGCGGGATTGATTGCTTTAATCCCGCGGGTTTGCGCGATTGAGATTTTGGTGCGGGATTGTATTCCCTAATCCTCGTATACTCCGCGCTAGTTGACCGACTGTGAAGTTTCTTTTCCCGCCGACCGTTCGAATCACCGTCTTCAAGCTCGAGATCCCTCCAACCTACCTTCCTTCGACCTGCTCAAGATTATTACCTGCATACCAACATCCAAGATGGCCGGTGTTAAAGAATGCGAGCACAAGTAAATAACTGTTAGACGCTGGACTTTGGTTTGTTTTCAGTCGGGCTTTTCGATAATTTGATAAACGTCGAGTACGGTGTGATCCAAATAACATCTACCTACGCTAGGAAACATTAGTGGTATCTTATTAACCCTTTTCCTTAAGATATAGGGTGTCGAAAGCACGTTTCGTCGCGAATTTCGTGGTTAGTGCGAGAAGGGTTCAAGAGAGGTTAAGGTTAAAAGTGCATTTAGAACGTGAACAAGTGAATATAAGTGAAATACAACAAAAAAATAACAAAAACGAAAGAAAATCCATCGCCGTAGTTTCTTTGTTTAACAATAACATGGTCTTGATACCTACGTGATAAATTGTGAATAACCTATTTTGGAGCTTTAAATTGCTGTCATGAAGCTGTTGAGTGCCAAAAGATACCATGGAGCCAACCATTTTTTGGGTGCATTAAAATGACTTAAAAGAACATTATTATTTTTTTCTATGACTATTATGGTGTGTAAAGTTGAATATCCTATAGTTCCTACGGTATTAGAATGTCGCACAGAGATTTTACAGAGGTAAGTATCCTATAAATAGCGGATATACGGATATATTAATAGCATATTCTTTATTATTTATTTTAATTTGTGTTAGTTTCTGTTTTTATTTTCTGTTATTTCCTTTTTATTACTTTTTTAATTATATCTATATTTCATACCTTGTTTTCACCTGTTCATCAACAGAAAAAAAAATTACCATTAACTATTAATAATATTTAATCAAGAAGTTTTGTGATGAAGTGTGCTTTGTAAGATGATCAATTTTATGATAATTTTCATTAGATTTTTATTTTTTTTTCAATGGTCAAAGTAGAAGATTGTCATAAAACAGTTTGATCGTTATACAGGGTAAGTCTTAAATATGTGCAAATATTTTCAGAGCTGGTAGATCTCGATAAATGAAACATATTTTTTCTTTACCGTTTTTCAAGTAAGTCCAAAATAACTGAGTTATTTTATGTTAACAATTAAAAAAAAAAATTTTTTGCTTAAATTTTGAGAATCACTTTTCGAGGATCTTTTCTGGGTTTTCATTCTTTTAAATTTAATCTACTGTCTATGTTGTCATATTATCAAGTTAAAATTATACTTTTAATTAAATAAATTAAAATAAATTATACTTTTTAACTGAAAACTAAAAAAAAATTTCCAATTTTTTTTTCAAAAAATTCCAAATTTTCAATTTTTTTTTCCGCAAAAAACCCCTCATAGTCGTGTTTCTGGTGTCGAATTATATCACCCCTAAAATATTTTGACTTATTTAAGACTCATCCTGCATATTATAATTAAAAATATTAAATATTTTTACCTGAAGAATAATGACCAACGTCTAAATATTTGTGGTTTGTTCATTATCTGATTACCGAACATTTTTGCCGCTGAATGAAATAGAAAAATACAAAATATAAATTGGATTTAATGTTGGATTCTAACCCCCAGTGGCATAAAAATTATATATTTCAAAGGTAAATTACCCTGATATTTTCGTCTACAAATAAAAAAGAACGTACCTATATTTTATATATTATTATACATTTTTTTAAAAATATTTAAGATAATTTAACTATTCAAGAACTTTTTTATTTGTACATTTTTTTGTGGTGAAAAACCCATTTTTTTTTAAATGTACCAACCACGTAGATATAGACATTATTTTTATGAGAAATGTATATTCCCCAATAGGAATAATTTATTGGTTTTAAATTAGGGGGGGGGGGTAGTAATTAAATTTTAATTTGATATATCTATTCGAGTGGTGTTTCTAACATAGATATTTTTCTAGATACAGTTATAATTAAGTACTTAAAGGGGTAAAAGCTATAGACTTATTTCATTTTTACTAACTTGTAATTTTTTGATATTTACTTTATATTTTATAGTTTTTGTAAAATACATACACTAAGTAAAGTAATCCATAAATTTTTACGATTTACATAAAATTGTATATTTTGGTTTAAAAGTATAGTAGGTAGTATACTACTTAAGTGGTTATATCTACTATCTAAGAGTGGTTATATCTCAGAAGACTAGATAGATATCTAGAAGACCTAAAAAAATTGTACTCTTGTTTATTTCTTAATGATACTTACTGCCACTTGGCCTTGAGAAGCTTGTAACTTATTTTTATATCGAGTAAAAATTATTCTTAAATGGTGCAAGTAGTTTACAATTCCAGAAAAATATTTTTTTGTAAATATAATTGAGGTGTTTGGAAACTATCTATCCATTTTTAATCTTTCTATAATTAATTAATGTTAATTTTTGACAAGTCTTATGTCAATTTTTAGTAAACGACCTCAAGATATGATGACCATGCCAAAATTATCATCGATTTTCATTTCCCAGCCGTCTTTGACGCCGTTTTTTTTTTTCATCAAACGTTATTTATTAATACTAATCCCAATAGTAAATTTTAGTGCTAACATTTTATTATATATTATGTATATTATTAATTTTAACTAAAATAATTATTATAAATTTCAAATGTGCCGTTAGCATACCTACTGACAATTTATAATTTATATAACCCGACGATATTTTTTTCTGTATTAAAAAACCTAAACGTGCAGAAAACCAATTAATATTTATAACAAAATAACGGAAAAGTAAGTACGTCTTCAGATAAAATTAATTCAGAGTACTTCGAGAATTTAAAAACTATGTATTTTCCACAAGTATATTAAAAATTATTTCTATTTTATATTAATAATTGCGTCTGACATTTAACGGTAAAATCGAGATATTCATGCTAAACTTGAGTCAGAACTAATTATATTAGCCGACTTAACGTTATCTCGATGTTTCTATTTAGTTTCTGTTCAAGTAAAGGCTTAACTTATTCATAGCTTAAATGCTTTTTGCTTTATTTATTTGTAAGAATAATGATGTCTTATAAACTTTACCGTCTTTCCTTATTTTTTTAAACACCACTTTTAAATTAATTAGATAAAAACAAATTATCCAGAATTTTTAATCTATATCTACATCTATATATCTATAGGTGCTAAAGCGCCAACATAATTCTAATTCTAAGAAGACATCAGAACTACAGACCTACTACCCGTAACATACAAGATATTCACAAAAATAATAAACAGAATACAAAACACGCTAGACGCTGCACAACCACGAGAACAAGCAGGCTTCAGAAGCAGTATGATTGATCACATACATAAACTAAGAGAAACTATCAGCCGAACAAAAGAATAAGAACTTCCACTAGCCATACTCTTTATAGACTTTCAGAAGGATTTCGACTCGATAACCTAAAGCAATAATAGAAGCATTAGCGAATCAAGATATTGACAGGCCCTACATAGAAACACCCGCCAATATATACAAAGCCAAAGCAAGATTAATAATATATAAAACAACCTCCGAGTTTCCAATTGGCAGAGGAGTACGAGAGGGAAACGCGATATCCCCAAAGCTGTTTACAGCAATAATACCTAGAAGAAGTCTTCCGTCAAGTAGACTGGACCAACAAATGATTAAATATAGGTGGAGAATATCTTAAACATCTAAGATTCGCTGATGATATACTCCTAATAGTTAATAGTCTTGAAGAACTTCTTCTTCTTATAATACCATCTTCTAATGAAGGTTGGCAACAATCGCGGCGAAACACTGTCTGTCCTGCGCAGCTCGAAACAGTTCGTGTGAGTTCAGTCTAGTCCAGTCTCGTAAGTTTTTCAACCAAGATTGCTTGCGTCTCCCAAGCATCCTTCTACCTTTCCTTCTATAAGTAACTTCAGAAGTTTTGCTCTACTATTGCGTATCACATGGCCCAGGTATGCTGTCTTTCGTTTTTTTTATATTTGTCAGTAATTCCCTTTCCTCCCAAGAACATCTTCATTGCGTACCATGATCTGTCCAGGGTATTTTCAAGAGTATTCCACTTGAAGAACTATAAACAGAAATTAACGAATTAAATACAGCCAGCAATAAAGTAGGTCTCAAAATAAATTTAGCAAGAACTAAAGTAATGTACAACGAACTAGTAAACAGAAAAGACATTCTAATAAATAACACAAAACTGGAAATAGTAGAAGAATACATACATATATTTTGGACAACTAATACACAGCTCGGGATCTCTACCACCAGAAATCAACCGAAAAATTAAGTTAGCATGAAGTACTTATGGAAGAAACTTAATCATATTCAAATCTAGAATGCCACTTTATCTAAAGAAGAAAATATTCGACCAATATATGTACTACCAGTCACCACCTATGCATGCGAAACCTGGACACATAAAACGGACATTATGAGGAAACTGCAGGCCACACAACGCTCAATGGAATTAAATATGCTGGGAATAACCAACAAAGACCTAAAAGAATAGAGTGGATACGACAACAGACCCAGGACCCAGGTAATAGATGTCATCCACAGAATCAAATTCCTTAAGTGGCAATGGGCAGGACACTTGGCAAGAAGTATGAACAAAAACGGACCACAAGAATGACAGCATGGTACTTATGAGGAATTAATAGATATAATCGGAAATGGTTGGAAAAGCTGAGAATGATGATGATGATATCTATAGGTATCTATAGGTAAAAATTATTTGAATATTATTGGGTATCTGGTCTGTGGTGAATAAACAGACTTATTAACTGGAGGTTTAGTTTTCTGCTTGCTTCCAAAAAGGCTTGGATGAGAAACTTCTAAGCCAACCGGGTTATGATGGATGCACTGGTTGAATTTTTAAGTATTTATTAGTGGACTGTATTTGGTCACAAGGCCTTGGTGGCAAAAGGTTTTGTTACATGATTCAAGGCGAATCTTAACAATCAAGTTGGACAACTTACCGTACATGAACGTGAAGGCGCTTTAACCACCCTAATCACTATAATCCAGGGTGAGGCATTCCCTAAGGTTCTAATACAATTAAAAAATAAAGGTTGTTTAACCCCCCAAAGTAAATTTAAATCTTTAAATCCATTCATTGACAAAACCGGAATTTAGCGAGTCGGCGACAGACTGACATATTCGAACCTTGACTATAATACAAAACATCCAATACTTTTGCCAAAAGGCCACACTTTTACTCGCTTAATCATAACACACATACACAAATTAAATATCCACCCTGAAATACAATCCACCCTTTCATTTGTTAGACAAAAGTACTGGCCCATTCAGGGAAAATCCTCAGTAAAGTCTGTCATCCACAAATTTTTAACTTGCTATAAACAAAACCCTAAAACTTTAAACACCCTTATGGGAGACTTGCCACAACCAAGGGTCCGACCATCCTCTCGACCATTTCTTCATACTGGTATGGATTATGCGGGTTATTTCATGCTAATAGAATCAAAATTGCGTAAACCGAAAATTTATAAAAGCATTAATAAAAAAATACATATACTTTAAATCCTTCAATTTAATAGTTGTTAGTAAGAAGTTTCACTTCAAATATAATGCACACATAATTTTTTTTTATTCTAGAAGCAACAGATGCTCGACGTACTATTTCTGGACCCTGTATAAAAAAAAAACATTATTTAAAA